ATTACTTGATTAAAGGTTACAGTGTCCTTTCTCAAATAGAAAAGGAATGCATGCTCTAATTAGTAGAGTATGAAAGAGTATTCTATAAATGTAGTGATAATAAGGTGCAAAAAAAATGATAACGAAGGGACAGAGGAAAGACAGTAATGGACTGCCAAATGTGGATATGTGTGCCTGAACCATTATAGCAGAAGCTAGAGAACTGTTCTCCCAAGAAGTGGCTGCAAATCTTCAGCAACAGTTTAAGGAAAAGTAAGAACTGCTTGGGACAGGGGGAAGCTGTTGTTTGGGAGAACTGTGCCTAAGAGCTCAGAATAAGGCTTTTAGATCATAGGTGATATAAAAATGGAAATGGTGAGTGTTTGGGGTTCCTGTATTATAAATGGGGAGAGAAGAGAAGAGTCTTGGAGACTGAGTGAAAAATATCAAATAACTTATAGCGGTATATGAGAAATATTCATGTACAATTTCTGTTGTAATCTCTTAAAATTTCAGCCCTTTTAGTGTGAGATTGGCCCAGTTTTGGTTTTGATAGCATTACTGCTCAGACTAGAGGAGCTCACTTAGTCTTGTAGGTATCTGCAGTTTGGGATGGAGAGCAAAATTCACTTTGTGTAGTGCTGGAAACTAGATGGCGAGGAATGATACTTGGAATTTAAATTGACTTAATCGGAATTCCTGTTTAAGTCTATGAATTAACATAAGTATTTAATACAATTGTCTGTACATGGCGCAGTCAGGACTAGAAGACTTTTAACTATAAATTGATCAGGCTATTCACTATAAACTGTCTAAAACTATAAACTATTAACTGTCTTGTCAATGTACTCAGTATATTCTAAAAGTGCAATGTATTTCGGTGGCTGCTTCTCATTTTTTGTTTCACTTTAGATTACAACTGATGTATCTGCAGTATTTCAAGAAATGGCAGGATAAACTTTACAATGTTTGCTCATGTGGAAGTCAAACAAAATGTTATTTTCTGTTAAAACTAGAGATGAACAACTAATTTTTGGGTGAGCGTGGTTCTTTATGAACTCAGATTCACATTTGTTTTCTCTGAATTGCCCTAAAGAACTGGAAACAGAACACTCCTTCATAGCAGTTCACAGGAACTGTGACCACAATATCTACACAAGTTACTGTAAAATGTGAGATGTTTTGTTGGAATAAGTACTTTAAAGTCACTTGAAGTGATGAGAAATTAGACAGATATTGTTATGAATGATATGTTAATCAAAGTAGTTGATAACCAAACAAATAAGAAAGGAAAGTAATGAACCTCTTTTTTAATCTATTTCATCTTTAGTTTTAGCTGTATTTTAATTAACTGGAAGCTATATCTGCAAATGACTTTAAAAAAAGTGTTTATTATAATTTTAGTCAGATTCTATATTTGAGAATAGGTAGTCATACCTTATGTGCTACCCTTGAATGAAATTATATTGAAAAGTAAAATATTGATAATGGGAGAGAAAATAGTGTGGAAATTGCTCGAGGGTTTCAATAAAATCTAGCACTGCAGTAAGATATAACAATACTGCAGGGATCTAGTCTTATTAGGCTAAAGCACTTTCATCTTTAATTGCAAAAGGGCTTCAGGGTTTCCTTTAATACTTTTAAATATTTGATTCTTAGGAAGATCAGTGTTACTTTTCTCATCTCTTCTATCCTATTATATGCCTCTACTACTTCCTGTAAGTAACATGTCTCAAAGGGTAACTATGTAACAGGGATATAGTTGTGATAAAACTTTTCCCAAAACTCTCTAGAAAACAGTTCTGAAGTACATTTTTGATACTTTTATTTAAATATGTCTCACATTTTCAACTCATATCAACTCATTACTCTGTACGACCTACCTAGAATTCTACATCAATATCTTTGCCAAATATCTCATTGAACAAACAGTATAAAAGTTGGTCAGTCGTTATTTGTGAGAACTTGAAAGTACAAAGCCAACAGCTGGAGCTGAACTCCATGTTCAGCTAGCTGGAGGAGCTAAAAGCTTCACCCTTGATAAAATTAGCGCCTGACATGTCTGAACTCCTGTATGCTCTTCTGAAGACTGTGCCTCAAGTGGTTATTGATACTGATGACCTAGGAACTGGACATCACATTTTTTCCAGGCCTGTGGTCATCCTTGGACAAAATTATGTTTATTAGTTTATGTTTCAGTTTATATTTTGTGTTTAAGCAAAATGACCAATAAAAATAAAAATAATGATAAAAAAAAAAACAAACCAACAATAGAGGAGTTCATTCTTTGATTAATAAATCATGCCTTATTTTTGGTGATGGTGACAGCAGTCCAATTTTGCCTTTATGAAAGAGCTTTCAATTTAAATATAATATTGACTTTTTACAGAAACGGAAAGAGTTTCTGAAAGATCTGTAATTTCAAATGATGTTCAGGACTGAATAAGCAGATATATTTTGCTAATGGGAAAATATCTGAGAACAATTACAGCAAAGCAGAAAATAAAATGCTAGCTTTAATATAATTTGTTGTTTGCTAGCGTCTGTTCTTTTGCTATTTCCTGTCAGTGGATGTCAATACCCCTTATTTGTTACAGATCATGCTTTTAAAACTATTTTGGATTCAGCGAAGTTGCTGAAGTTAAACTTATTTTTCATAATAGAATTTTAATGAAATATAAGCAAACAGAATTGATTGAAGGTCATAAGATTGTGTTGTTGCTTTATTGAAGGTATAATTTTCTATTCTGTGAAGCTTACTGAAGACATCCAGAAACTACTTTATGAAGAAAAATGGCAGGAAGGGCTAAATCACAGTGGTGAGTAATACGCTACTGATACAGTATCTCTAGATAAGGCTAAGAATAATGCTTGTTATTTCTGTCTCAAAATGAAGGCTGTTGACCATGGGCTAGTGAAGGCTAGCGAGCTTTTTCAGCTGTTTTTTGAAGAAAGCATCCATCCTTTAGATACTACAAGTAAGATCAGAAAACTCAATTAATTCCCATTTGAGTGAGACTGAGCTAAGATACCAGCTGATGTTCTATTTCCAGTCATGTTTAGACCACAGCATGCAAATGGTTACCTTTTAAGTGCTTAAATACTCATTGCAGGGGGATTACGACTATATACATTGAACTAGAATTTTTATGTGATGGCAATAGACAGGCAGCCACCATTTCAACTTCATGTATCTTTCCCAGATGCATCACTGCACCTGAGCAGTGGGACTTGTCCAGTTTATCCAGTCTGACAGCAGTACTCTGTGCCTCATTCCCACCCTTACTGCCATGGTTTAAGTGGGTTTTATCAGGAGGAAAAAAAAAATGGACTAGATTTGCAGAGGATGCAACAAAACTTTCTCAGACATCTGTGGAGCTTCTCAGTAGTCCCAAACAGGTTAGGTTCTCTTAGGTTTGCTGGCCTGGAGCCTTAATCTTCTCTTCAATGAAGTCTCTTCTAACTTCTCCCTAGTGGTCTATGTTAGCAAAGAGAAGGAAAGATATTGAAGGTCCTGCATATGTACCACAGACAAAAGCTCCATTGCTTTTAACTGGAAATATGCCTGTGTTAGAAAATGGTGCTTGAGCCCTGAAGATTGAATTAGTTCATTGTCTTCTCCAGATAGTTCTTTTAAAGTAACTTCAAGAGCCCTTTTCTCTATAATACTGAACTTGCACTGTATGTTAATGTGATATAAATAGACATGGACAAGCATCGTGAAACTTTTCAAGCTCTAGCCTATTGTTTTAAAACTCACCAGCTCTATTTTTTCATCAATTGATGTTTCAGCCTGCCTATGGAGAGTGCTATAATGATAACCACAGCATGTTAGCACTTCAGAGTGATGGAGACCTTACTTGTTTCCACTTACTGAACAGTGTTTTTGTAGAGTCAGTGACTGTGTCAGTGTACTGAGAAGCAAGAGACTGGATCTACTGTCTTCATGTTGCTTATTAACAAAAACTGAACATGGTGAAATGTTATTCTTGTAGAGTGGTTCTGTTTTAATACTTAGTTTCTGTGTAAATAATTACTTCAGTGGTTTAATGTTTCCTAGCTAAAAGCTTCAGAATCAGATTGCCAAATCAGCAGTCTTCTGATCAGAAAGTATTATTGGACTGTAACCATGGCACAAAGTATGCATCCCACACACAATTTTCTTCTTATTATTTGTTATTAGTATTAATGACTTCAAGAGGAACTAAAACGAGAGCACCAGGGTAAAGATGCTGTGGAAAGAAATGTGTAAATCTAAGATAGCAGGCCTTAGATCTCTGCTTGTGACTATACTAAAAGATGAGTGCCAACTATCAGAAATGGGGCTTGGATGGGTGGAGGAGTAGCACAGCTCAGTCTGCGCACTGTGTTTGGGGCTGGTAAACCTTTTGTAGCCCTACAGTATGTGAGACTGAGCAAGGAATGGCCACAGTTTGCTCAAACTGCTATTAATGGCTGGGAAGGGACTGAAATAAACCATTCTCAGTCAATACTCGGTTTTTGCGTTTCAAATACAGCATGCTTAAATGCTTCTAATGTTTTTAAATGTTTTTCATAACGTTAAGTTGAAGAGCAGCGTGCGTACTTTACCAGCTCTTATTTGTGTTGGGTGGTTGAGAACAGAGAAAACAACCAGACAGGTTAAACTTTTACCAGCAGTTCCACCTTGTTCAAAATTGCCTCCTCTCCTCCCTGTACTGAGACGTGTTACCCTAAGTAGGGTAAAATTGTTTCACGAGCTGATTACTCTGTGCAATCTTCTGACATTTCTGAAAGCAGCAACCTTAGCGCTGCTTTTCCCTTTCCTAAACCGGGCTTTACCGCAGGTACTTCTCCGTATCAAACAGCTCCCGTGCCCAAACCCAGCGCATCCAGCGAGCGCCGGGCCGGCAGGCGCTCACACAACGCAGCAGGCACCGCCCCGGCCCGGATCCCTGGCAGCCCCCTCGCGGAGCGGGGCCGCGGCCGGGGGCGGGCCGGGCGGTGCGAGCTGGGCGGGCCGGCGGCGGGCTGTTGCCATGGCTCCCGCAAGCCGGGGCAGCCCCGCGGGCCGGCGGCGGTGCTGAACGGACCAGCCATTTTGCTGGTGGAAAACAATGTGACACGGTGCGCCGGGCTCTGCCGTGCGATAAACACGCGTCTCCTCTGAGGACAAGGAAGAAACGGGCGCGCGAGTGAGTAATGACAGCGGGTTAGCGCGTCGGAGCTGCCATTTTGACAAGCCGGTGACTGCCGCTGATCGGAGGCGGAATGCGGAGCGATAACGCCGCATATCTGCTGTCAGGCAGCCGAGCGGGTTTTTGTCTCGCAAAGGTGAGGCGGCCCCGCGGCGTTATCTCGGTGCCCGCCGCGAGGGCTGAGCCGGGGCTGGCGGCCCCGCGGTTAGCAGCGGGCAGGTGCCGGCCCGACCCCGCCCGGCCTGCCGACCCCGCGGGCTGCGCGCCGAGGGTGTGCCGCCGCGCTCCGCACAAAGGGAGGCTGCCGAGCATCCCGGCGCCGGGGAGACGTACGGCTCTGCGGAGACTGGTTCTGCCTTGTGAAACTGTTCCGAGCAAAACCGCTCGCGAGAAATAAGCTTCGCCAGGTACCTTTGTGTTTAAGGGATGGTTTGGTCGGAGACTTGCGTGGAGTGATGGCTGAGTGCATTGGTCTGACTGCATCTTGTTTTAGTGTCGTGTTCTAATGTAGCTGTCGAGTCAAAAGATTGCTTGCAGTAGCAGATGTAATCGTATGCATTTCCTACTAAAAGGGGTTTTCGTTTTCCATTGTGCTTTGTACTGTCGGGATAACATGGGATATAATGCATTATCAAACTTGCAAACGTATTTGAAAAGCCTCAAGTCACTGAATTCTCCGTGACTGGAATTGATGCATTGTGCTCAGCCTCAGCATAACTAGCTTTAAATTGTCTGACTGCTGCTGTGCAATATGTAGGTCATAATAAGGAGCAGCTTTTTCACCAGGCTTCCATGGGCTGCATGCCCCAGTGCTGTGGTTGATTGCTTTGTGGTACTGGCACTGGTAAGAGCAGCGGTGACACAGCCAGCTCACACCTCCCGTTCAGATATGGCACATACCGTGCTGCATGGAGCACAACACGCCCATTGTGTCCCTCCGCTCAATGCTTGGTACAAGGAAGGAAACCAGCACTCCACATGGAACACAAGCACAATTAACAGCACAGGGCGGTTAAACTTTATTGAATGATCCCAGCGGCAGGCTTTCTGCTTAACAAAAAATAAATAAAACCATGAATGCAAATGTAAGGCAGTCATTGAAACACAGTAAGTCATCTGATTGGGGCTGTATGTTCGCACTGTAGGTTTTCAATGCAAAAGGAATTGCTTTGAATAGATATTAATCACAACACATCTGTTTTAGAGAGATAAATAAAACTACAGTCCCTCAATACAAACTTTTATGGTAAAAGTAGCATTTCATGAACTACCAAACGTATTCTTGCTAATATAATTCTTAATTACCTAACACTGAAATGCATTTGATTATTCTGGCAACTGAATGATATGATTTGCTTTGTAACTAGAGAAAAGAAATAATTGGTATTAACTCTTAATTACATGGCTTTCAGTTACACTGAGATGAACCATTTGTTTGAAGAGTTAAGTAGGCATGAGATCAGGAATTTGAGGTCTGGGATCTTTATAGTTAAATTAGTAACCAGTTTCTGTAATTAGGAGCCAAATTCCAATGTGTTATTTCTGTGTATATGTGCAGCAAAGGTATTTGGACAAGCGTGGTCAGCAACTATTCCCCAAATGAAACACTGCATTTAGAAATAGCAGTTTATAAACAGATTGCAACCATGCATTTTCCCTCTTAGAAAAGCTCCATCTTCCTCAAATTGTTTCAGGATTTCACTAACAGATGAATGCACACCCCAACTTCTTATGTGTAGAGATCATATAGTAAATTGTTTAGAGATCCACGTTTTTCTGTGTTCTGTTAAGTGGAATGAATATTTACAGTGTGATCCTACATGAATATTCATGATTGAGTCTTTAATTATGTTGAAAATGATAAGCTGATCTAGCATTTCCTTTAGGAGGTGTTTGTCAGCCTCTAACAAAGAGATAGAGAGCTTCTATTATTACAGTAAGAAGTATAGGCGTAGTAGTATGTAAAAAGTCAAGGACCTTACAGCTCAGGCTGGATATATCTTAGTCTAAAAAATTTATGGTCTAAGTAGGCATATGAGGACTAGCTGTGACAAATCAGTGTACAGCCAATTATGTGCTGGTAGATGCATCTTATTAGTCTCTATTATTATTGAGAACAATATTCCGCATTCTTTCTATTCTGTTGTTCTCCCTTTGTCTTTTTTCTCATATCAGTTCCCAGCTTCCCTCTGTTGCCTTACTGTCTCTTTGGCAACATCTGATCCCCTCTGAGGTATTTGTAAATCAAATTGGTGACTGTCAGTAATGGCCATGGAGGTACTGCAATGGAATATTGTTAGAAGGAAGAATGTTAATGACTTAGAGGGGAAAAAAACAGCGACTAAGTAAAGTGTGTACTCAATATGTACTAACGATACGTGATATAAGGTATTAAGGTCTTGTCACAAATGTTGAAATCAAATGGGTGTAGAAGAGGAGGAATGTTTTTTAGTTCACAATCAACTACATTTTTATAGATTAGTAAGAAGATCTTGAGAATAATATGAGACAAGACAAATTGGATATTTCAGCAGTGGAAAGGTTGACATTAAGTTTCAGTTAAAGCATAGGTTTTTTCTATTTCAGGAGAACCATGGTTTCAGTCCAAGAAATTATTGTACTTGATTTGAAAATCTGTAGGTTATGCAAAGTCAGACTGTTTTGGTCTGCAGTGAGGTAAATAACACCAGCTGTCATGCTTTAACATGAGTCACTTCAAACATTTTTGAGAGAGCTGACTCTTGAAGGTGACTCTGGGCCCATGTGTTGTGATCATAAACAGATTACCAGCAAAGCAAAAGCAGGGAGATCAATCCTAAAACGTGATATTACAGCAGCAGGTGCAAATAACAATGAAAATGAAGAGATGGACTAAAGAAGCCAAAATCAAGTGCTGTAACAGTTTGGTATGTTTGTTTAAAGTCATTAGATTTGAACAAACATTGATAAGCATCGACCAACCATGTGGTCTGTGGAGCACAATAACCTTCTAAGAGGGCTAATGTGGGAATGTAATCTGCCCTCCACCTATGGGCTAGTCCCTGAAAAGCCATAGACTTACATATATGACCAACATGAGTAACAGTACAGATGTCACATGCCTAGAGACCACTCTCAGATATCAAATTAGGGTGCAGTGTATAAGGTTGCGCTGTGGAACGGCTGAATGCATCTTCTATATTGGAAGGATCAGGTATTGTGTATGATACGCCAACGATGAGGGTTCATCTGGAGCAAGTAAATTACAACAGATGTGACCTTGGAACAAAAGTTCTGCTCCAGTGAGGCCGTCTATGTAACACAGATAATTCTTGGAGGTTTGTAAATTTGAATTTTACAAATATGTAGTTTGATGTATCACACTGATACTGATCCTTTTCTGGTATCACTATTTCAGTATTGCATTGTTGTTACTGACCGAATGTATTTTCTTCATATTCTGTTGGATGTAGTGTAGAGCATTCTGTTAAGGAAATGATTGTACTATAAGTACTCAGACTTTGTTCATTTTTCTTCAAATAGTGTGGCTTCTTTACACACAAGCATTTTACCAAAAGTATACTACCATACAAAAAAAAAAAAAAAAAAAAAAAAAAAAAAAAAGCTTCAGTTAGATGCTGATATTTCTATTATTGTGATCTTACTTAACTATCTTGAGCCCAGCCTAAAAGCAAAAAGGTAAAAAGACTTTCATAGGCACTGATGTAATGGAAAACCTCGTGGATGGGAAGGATTACGGTGTGATAGTGGACAGAAGTTTGTACTTAAAGGGCAGCATGTATCTTTGAGCAAAGGCATGCTGAATGACAGCATTTTAGGTCTATTCCTGCTTTGGTTTTTTTTTTTTGATGCATTAAATGTATTTTTCTGTTCAAATCTATTGTTCCATAACAGCATAGCTAATGCTGCTGTAAAGCAGGAAATTCCAAAGACTGAGCCTTTTCTCCTAGCTTCTGTCCCTAAATAGACTTACTTTATGCCCTTCTCTGCTGAACAATGATAGTGTTCTGATTCATCCATCCTTAAAAATCTCATCAGCCACTATTAAGGGGTTGAAGAGGACAGATGTACTTCTGTGTTCTTAAGTAACCTGAATAACATAATATGTTATTTTAACAGTTGATGCTGAGGATCCCAAGCCTCAATGGATATTGGTGGAGGTGGGGGGGAGAGAAGAAGATAGCAAGAAAAGCAATGCTTTTTCCTCCCACTTCTTACAACAATCAAGTTATACAATAAGCTTCTTAATTTACCTTTTCAACAGATAACTTAAATAATATTGAAACATGGAATAACAAAAGCTTTACTTATTTGTAGAGTATTTGTCCAGCATTATATGTACAAGTATTGAAGGAAAGTACAACTGAAATCTTTGATGTGTAAGTTTAGCTACAGTTGCTGATTAGCTATATTTGCCCTCAAATAGTGAGTTTTACTCTTGCTACCTCAGGAGTCAGAAAAAAAGGGAAAGATACTTGAAGGAAACCCAAGGGAATCAATAATGACAGATTTCATAGCTGAAAGAGTAATGTTTTCCAGGCTTTCAAGAGCATTAAGAGGCATTGATGTTTCAACATTGTGTTTGTTTGTAACATAGGAAGTTGATAATTATGACTGAAGGTTAAAATAGCTGGAAGGGTCCTTTCAGAGTTTAAAAACAAGAACAACAGAAAAAAAAAACAACAACAACAACAACAAAAAACAACACAGTTCCTTAACAATTCTCTTTTCCTTTAGTGGAGACAACAAGTGAGTTCCTGGTTCTACCACAGTAATACTGAAAGGCAGTTCTAACGCTCCAAAGAGGCTTAAATTACATGATGTAGCCAATGATGGGAAGGAATGGGAACTACAAAGAGCAAGACAGCCATAGCTTGTCCTTTTCAGTATATTGCCATCTTGTCTGAGTAATCAATTTTAACCTGAACAAGAAGTTTTCTTACCACAGAGTATATTGAAAGTTGAGTATAGCCAAGTATTCCTCAATGGGGGAAGTG